TGTGTGTGTGTGTGTGTGTGTGTGTGTGTGTGTGTGTGTGTGTGTGTTGGGGTGGGAAGATGGTATCCTCTGGTTCAGTTTATCCCAAGCTTTCCATTTTGTGCCGTCACTGAACACCTCAACACATTGCTACCAGTATTTGCTTTCCCCCACTATATCTCCGTGCTTTGGTCTGTCTCGTCTCCACCCATCTCCTCCCTGCCCCAGGAAGTCCACCAAGTACCAGAGACAGAAAGGATGAACCCCGTTACTGTCCTGGTCCCCCAAGATGGGAAAGCATCTTGCATTTCTCCAGGTGCAATTCAGGCTTCTCATTCCAGGTCCATGGACAGGGGGCCACTCCTAGCTGCCATCACTCTGCTGGCACTGAGGGCTGGTCACTTCCCCCAGACCTCTGAGGAAGCTGAACCAGATTTACTGTGGGCCCTACTATTGGCTCAGTTGGGGATCAGGGTGTGGGGAGCTCCAGCTGGGAAGAGGAGACCAGACCCCTGACTCCCTAGCAGCCTCCAGACTGGGCAAAGGCAAGTATGGGTGGTCCCACCGTCCAAAGTGAGTCTTTCTTTTCTCCCCTCTCCCACCCCCACCCCAGCCCCGCTATCCCTGCTAACTCCATCCGCTTCCTTCCTCCTCCACAGTCTAGAAAACTGAGTCCCTGGGAACTCTGACAAGATAAATCTGGATCAACCACAGGCTCACAATGGTAGAAAAGACCTCCCCCGCATCTCCCCTGAGGCTTCTTTATTGGAGGCTGATAAGAACTAACAGCATCTAACCCTCCTCTCACCTAAAAAAATTCCCTCTCAAATTCCCCCCCCCCCCCCCCAATTCCCCCCTATCCTAGGAGTCCCAGATGGGCTGTAGCTCCCAACTGCTAGAATTTTCTTCTGTCCAGCTCACCCCCCCAACCCCACCATGATTACTACACCATGTCCCAGAGCTAGGACAGTGCCTTTGGGATTCAGGCCTCGGTTTCCTTGGATAGGGCATGTGTAAGAAGATGATGCTGGCTGAAGGGGCAGGGTTGAAGTTTCAGGTACAGACTAGCAGCTTGCAGAGGGCTCTAAGCTAAAGCAGAGCCTGTTTCCCCATTTGACCCTGCGGTTTCCTGCAGCTGACCAGGTGAGTGCCTGGGCAGGGCTGGGCTATGGTCACCAGCCCTCTGACAGGCCCTCCGCCCAGCTGGCTGCCTTACACTCCCTGACTCTGGCTCACTCCAGCCATGGAAACTTGTACTTCAGCCCATAAAAATGTGGTTGCAGGAAATGAGCTTCTGTGGTTGCCAGATGTTGAAAGTTCTGCAGACAGCGGCTGCTTTCCTCCTTGAGTCCTCTCAGGAAAAAGAAGAATGTGGCCCTTTGGGGCAAGACACAGGGGGACTTGGGGCTTCTTTCTAGCCTTTGCAAGTTCCCCAATTCTCTAGGTTCTTGGGGAGTAGGGTGGCAATTGAGTGTAAGAGAGACACCCAAAGGGAGCAAGGGTGAGTGTCTGGCTCTGCCCTGAGACAGAAAGAGTACACACCTACCACTGGACTTTAGACACACTAGCGTGCTTGGCCATGGGGGAGACAGGACTGGAGTGTAGTTATCTGCCTCCTTCTTTCTCCAAACTTACCTCCCCCGCTGCCCCAACATGGACCTAGCATTCTAATGAGCCAGTGGTTGGGGCAGTCACCCTCTCCCCCACCCTCCTCACTCATATTCACCCCCCCCATTCCAGCCTCCATGCTCTTGCCTCATATTCTCTTAGAATGCTCCTTTCTTTCCTCCTTTCCAAATCCTATCCTTCTTCCAAGGGCCAGCTCAAGTCTGATGGCAACCAGAAAGCTTCTCTTGATCAATACAGCTCACACTGATCTCTGAATTACAGCACTTTCTCTGTACCCCACCCACTGGCCACTTAACAAATATTACTATTTATTCCAAGTTCTGTTTTGTTTTTCTTCATCAAACTTGTGTCTCTGCCAACCCCTAACCTAGATAGACTGTGAGCTTTTCCTTGGCTCTCACATCCTCCTCTGTTTCTTCCACACATCCTAGGGCAGGGTCTGGCTCCTTGGTCTCTTTGCAGACTATACTCTTCTTGAGAGCAGGTCCAGGCATCCCTGTCTCTCTCATAAACAATCCCTGCTTGAGAATGGCCAGGGACATAAGGCAGAGGATGATTGCTGATTAAACTCAGCTTTTTCTCTCCCAACCCCAATATCTAGTAAGAACACATATAAACACCAACATTTGCATGGCTCAAGAGAGCCTATGTGCAGCTAGTGGAGAAGACGCCACACCTGGTGGGTAGGATGATTCAGTTGCAGAGGCCCAGGCGCAGCTGGCCCAGGGCAAGGGCAGAGAACTTCCCAAGTCCCTGAGGTGAGCACCAGAATGTGATAGTGGCCAAGAAATTTGTGAAGAAGAAAACTCTTTGAGAAGAAAAGTCAGACCATTCTGTTGTTTTATTGGAGACATAAATAAAAGAACCAAGAGGTCTCATGGTTTATATTTGGATTTTGTTTGTGTGTTTTTATAAAAAAAGTTAACACATCACCAGTTCCCTTACATGTTTCTTCTCTATGGAGCAATATATACAGCTTTTCATATATATATATATATATATATTTATATATAATATATATTTTCAATAGATAACTACATTCAAGTAACAAAACAAGGGATTTACAATCTCTCTCCTCAACTAGAGGAGCAGAAAATTCACACATGATTCACAGAGGAAGGTACCTAAAACCCCAACCATGCAAAAGACCTGCTGCCTATGGGCATGGAGGCAGCTGGAGAAATAATTACAATCACACTGTTGCATATTATGGGGGCCCAGGAGAGAGCTGAGAGGGGGCCAGGAGATATCCTAACCCTGTTCACCCTGGGGAACCGGTACACATAGCTAGCTAGCACTGGTGGGCTTTTGACCGAGGAGGCAGAGGGTTTAACAGAACACTCATTTCTCCAGGAGTCGCTCAAATTTGGGGTTGACAAAGGAGAAGCCAGCAAAGGCTGCCTGGTCCATGGAATCGATGAGGTTCTTGTCACTGAAGGATAGGCGGGCCTTCTCACTTAGGAACTCCCGGTCAAAATTGTTGTAGTCACCGGCTGACTTCTGCGATGGGGAGGTATGAAGGCAAGGAGTTGAGTATGTTAGAGGTCAGAGTGAGCAGGTGGCAGGACCTGAGGCCAGGAGAAGGCCATATACTCATCCCTCCCGTAAGTCCCCAGCATGGCTATGGCCATGATCCTAGAACCTCTCTTAAAAGTAGGATATAGTGGAGGGAGAGGGAAGGAGGACTCTAGGTACCTGAGAGAATGAGTGGATATGGGAGACTAGAAAACCTCTTTAGTTTTCTGGGCCTAGCCTTTCAACAAGATGGGCTGTATCTGTTCTAGACATGCTCCCTCCTTTATTTATGAAAGCCTCTAGCTGCCTTGTTAGTTCCCCACTTGTGACATCAAAGAGTGGGAGGCCAGTCTCAGAATGTGAGATATCCTTCCCTTCCCCATAAAATCTCTTACCTTCTCAGCATCCCTGAGAGATCCCTTCATGCATAGAATGATAATAGATCTGGGAGTCCCATCTATTAACCCCCAGAGGAGTGGTGAGAACGTGGCCCAACTTCAAATAGGTGGCTTCTCATAGGAATATGGTAGATTCCCTCCTTTTGCCATGGCCTGAAAACCTCATGCCCTAAACTCTGGTTGTATTCTTCCCCCGACCTTCAAGTCCCCCTTTTGGATGTATTGGCTATGACCCCTTTGTGGAGGATGGCTGCTGTTCTTAGCTTTGGGGGTGGTGGCTGACGTCCTACTTGGGCAGGGGGAATAGTGAGTGTTGTACTAGTGACTTTTCATTACCCCTATTATCTCCCCCTTCCGTGCTCCCACCAGAGGGTGTCCTAAGTCAAAACACAGATGCTTGCCTCATATGAGTTAAAACATGCTACATAAAGGCCTATTGTTTTGCACAGAATGGCTGGTCCAATTCTCATGTGAAGCCCAAGTACCAGAACAGAGGATAACTCTAAAGCAGGTAAAGAGAAGGCAATATCACAGAAGAATAGCTTGGATTTGATTGAATACCACCCTATCTCCTGTGCAGAAGAGCTAAATCTAAGTTAAATGGGATAGCAGAGAGAAGGGGAAAGAATGTATGGAAGGGGGCTTGATGGTGGTGGTGGTGGTTACACATCTCATACAGATATATAACTCTTGCAATGTATATGGCTTTTCATGTACACATCAGCCCCAAGCCCCTTCCCCTGCTCAGGGAAGACTGTCAGCTCTTTAAAGACAGAGACTGGTCCTATGTGTCTTTGGATCCTTCTGAAGATCTGGCTTGAGGTTAGGCACAAAGTAGATACTCAATCATTAATATCTTCTAATTTAATTCAATTCAACTCATTGGCATTAACTGCCGATTTATTAGGTGCCAAGCATCGTACCAGGTCTGGGGATATAAAGACAAAAATTAAATAGTCGCTGACTTCATGGAGCTTATTTGAATGCTAAGCACATGATGGAGACAGGAAACATCTGCTCAGCTGAAGAATGAGAGAGAATAGACAGAGGGACCGAGGAGGCCAAGGTCAAAGTCAGAGAAGAAGAGAGTGAGGTGAGAAGGTGAAAACAGGAGAGGTGGTGGGTTGGTGGGCAGAAGGAAGGCAGGAAAGTCTGACGTTTGAAGATGGATCTAGGGGCGAGAAGGGGGGAGAAGGAGAGTCGGGGCCAAGCAACTACAAGGCAGTGGGACCACTTACCACTTTGGGCTTGAATGGTGGGTCCACTTCCCGCTTCTCCAGGAGAATCCAGTTGATAGTCTTGAAGAACGGATGGACTTTGATGTTACCTGTCACCCCCAGTCTCTTAGTGGGATCCCTTTCAAACAACTGCAGCCCGAAAGAACACCACGGTTATATTAGACAGTTATATAAACACATGTTTAAGTTCAAACTCAGGAAGGATTTAGGCAAGTTTGCAGAGAACAGACCTACAAGAATCAATCACAGGGGGACTTAAGTGATGGACAGAGTGAGGATCGCATCAGAGAAGCTGGCCATGGTCTTCCCCCACCTGGTCCTAGGTGCTCCAGCCAGAGACAGAAGCTTGATCTGGAGGCAAACGTACAGGGATGACTATGGTCTGATGAGTGAGCTAAGAAGTTCTTCTTGTTGGGAATAAGTTTATTTTTCTATAATGCTTCATGGTTACAAAGTGCCTTTACATCCATTATCTAAATGAGATAATCTTCAAAATAATCCTGTGTTTGGAATTATTACCCCATTTAAAAGACGAGGGAAAGTGGGGCAGCTCGGTGACACAGTGGATAGAGCACTAGCCCTGGATTCAGGAGGACCTGAGTTCAAATCCAGCCTCATAACACATAACACTTACTAGTTGTGTGACCCTGGGCAAGTCACTTAACCCCATTGCCTAGCCAAAAAAAAAAAAAAAAAAAAAAGATAAGGGAAAGTAAAGCCCTAAGAGAGGGAAGTAAATGGCTATCATATAGGGCTAGCAGGCAACAGAGCTGGGACTGGAGGGAGGAGAGGAGAAATATCACAAGTATATGGCACTTGATGTGGGACATCTTGGATGACATTATTTCCACCAGTTAAGAATATTCATCTTTGCTTCTCTACCCATACAAATTCTACCTTCCTTCAGGGCTCAGCTCAAGACCAGTATCCTTTGATAAGCCATTGCTGACTACTCCTAGCCAAAAGTGATTTTTCTTTTTCTTCTTCTGGGTTCTTGCAGTCTTTATTGTCTGGACCCCTCAATCCAGCTCTGTTCTTAATATCGTGAATAATATGAGAGAGCAGGCACCTTGTGTTTTGAGCTTCTCTGTATATGACAGTACCTGGCCACCTCAGTAATTAGAAAGATGGCGTGAAATGCACACAGTAGGGCCAAAATGTTGTGAACTTGAATGAGCTCTAAATTTGGAATTAGGAACCCAAGCTCAAGTACTGACTCTGCTGCCAATGACCTATGTGACCTTAAGTCAGTCACTTATTTCACCTTTCTGGGGCTCAATTTCCTCATCTGTAAAAAAATGATAGAGGTAGAACTAGGTGACCTCTAAGGTTCCTTCCTGCTCAAAAGTAAATGGGTAAAAAGCAATTGTGGTTGAAGAACCAAAGATCACTTATTCAGACAGACTGACTTCAGGGGTAAGGAGGCCAAGCTGGCCGGCATTGGGAATGACGGAATATCTCTAAAGACATGTGGCTTTAGTATTATGGAACATATATATATATATGTGGGATAAGGGCTAACAAACATGAGCCAGGTGGCAGTCTCACAGACCTGATTTAATGAATGGACAAGAATCAACAGCATTGTTTGTCTTCAATTAAATGCTGTCTTGGAAGTGAATTTGAGGGCTTCTAAGAGACTATTCCCTTAAGTAGGTTAACCCCGCCCTCTCCCCAGTGCTCTTGAGATGATTCCTTTGCTCCAAAATAAACTTTCCCCTCCTTTCCTGCAGCTCCTTCCCCACCCCCACTCCAGCCTCTCTTCACCAGAAAGAACAAATCCTACCCAGCACAGCTCAGTGGCTTTGGAGTTTGAAGAGAAAGAGCTCCCCCGGGTCATGGCTGTAACACGCATGTAGTGACCGAGGGGTTATGTCTCTGGAAGGAGCCCATGACCAGGAATGGATGCTGTCCCTAAAAGTAAAAATGGGAACTTGGGCCCTTTCTGCTTCTTTTCCTCCTCTCTTATAAATATCATGCCTTGGAGAGTAGCATCCATCAGATCATGAGCTCCTTGAAGGCAGGGACTGTCTTTGGCCTTTCTGACTTACCACAGAGCCTGGTGCATAGCAGGAGCTTAATAAACACTGACTGATTGATTTAGGCAGCTAAATGGCTCAGTGGTTAAAGCACTGGGCCTGGAGTCAGGAAAACCTGGCCTCAGACTCTTACTAGCTGTGTAACCCTGGGCAAGTCACATAGCCTGTCTGCCTCAGTTTCCTTACCTGTAAAATGGGAATCATAATCGCACCTACCTCCCACAGTTGATGTGAAGATGAGATAATATCTACAAAGTGTTCTGCAAACCTTAAGTTGCTATATGAATGCTAACTTTTATTAGCTATTATCTTCTTCCAAATCTTGCCATCCTTGTCTGGGCTCTCCTTTCCCCCTGACAATGCTCTCCTGCCATCAGTAGGAGCCTCCATACCTTCTCCAGGATGTCTTTTGATTCCTTGGTGATCCATCGTGGGTAGTGAGGCGTGTCCACACGGATGGACTCAAAGAGCTCATCCTCATCATCTCCATGGAAGGGGGATTGCCCAATAAGCATCTCATACAGGAGGACGCCAAAGGACCACCAGTCCACTGAGAATGTATACTTCAAGCCCTGCAGGATCTGTAGGAGCAAAGTGGGAAAGCTGAGGCCAGGGCAGGTGGAAGCTGCCTCTGGGATGGGCAGGAAATGGCGCGGGTGCTGGTGGACTCCCTTCTATTCACAGTCATACCCAGTTAGACTCCCCGAGTGCCTTCAGAAGAGACACTCAGAAATCATCAACTTTCTCATCTGACAGAGGAAGAAACTGAGTCCCAGCCAGAAGAGAGAAAAGAATGGCCCAAGGTCAGACAGCAAGGTGGTGGCAGAACTAGGAGTGGGACCCACATCTCAGGACTCCTAGATCAGTAGCTTTTCCTCTACGCCCTCCTTCCTAACATCTCTTCCACCTCAGATATTCTCTTGATTATTTTCTTACATCCTCTACTAAGGGATCAGAAAGCCAACCCCCCCAACCCGACTCCTGAATTCAAAGCACTTTCTCAAAGTCGAATTATCCATCTAGTGGGAGCAGGGAGATGTGAGAAACCAGAGCCCAGAGAGAAAGAGGTGCTCATCAAAGGTTACAGAACAATCCAGGTGACAGAAGGCCCAGGTGTCCCTGGATGACCATACTGAGCCCTGGTGCTGGCCAGGGACAGAAAAAAGATGACCACTTCTCCAGTTGTGGGACACCAAGATGGTGCCTTCCAGCATTTGGGGCTAGGGATATGCAACACAGCCTTCACTGCTATGCCACTCTGGTCAGAGGCTAAAATATTTGGCACTCCCCTGTGGCCCCCTGGTGACTCATATAGGACAGATGCTGAGAGGTCCTCAGGCACAGGTACTCTCAGTCCCAGGGACCAGGTTTCAAACAGTTCTGGAGGTTTCATGTCAGGGCCTTACAGGCGGGTACTGTCAGGTGATGATCAGTCTTTGGCCAAAGCTGGGTGTGGGGGACCCCTTCCTGAACCACCTTGCGCTCTGGCTTTCACAAGGTAGGTCTCCCTCCTGGACTGGGGCAGGAATGCCTACTGCCCAGGCCCATTCTTACCTCGGGGGCAATGTAGTCTGGCGTACCACAGAACGTGCTGGCCCTGTTCTCCCCCACCACGTTCTCCTTGCACATCCCAAAATCGGCGATCTTGATGTGGCCTTCTTTATCCAGCATCACATTGTCCAGTTTGAGGTCCCTATGGGACAGTAAGATAAAACAGAGGAATCACTGAGCCAGCCTGATACAGCAGAGGAGACCTCGAGCTTCCCATCTTCTCCACCCTCGGCAGAGATGTCCAGCACTTGGGATGCTCTTCTCAAGCAGGCCATTAGAGCCCAAGGAGAGACAGACGGACCAACACAGGCAGAGAGAGACATGGGGGTGGGGAGGAAACAGACAGAGGAGGGAGTTCTCCTTAAGGTGAGTATTGTAGATCAGTGGCGGGGGGAGGGGGAAGAGACAGAGACTCTTCTCCGTGGAGCTGAGACAAAAGGGGTTCCCAATACCCCACAAGAGGAAGAGTGATTAAATGGACCCTTGATGGGATCTTCTTCCTTTTCCTTTCCCTCTGCCTCAAGGAGATCTGCCGTTGGTCCCCGGTCCTCAGGAAAGATCTCTTCCTCAGCTCAGCTGAACCTGGCCTGTCTGCCCTGGATTCAACCTACCTCAAAGAGTATTTACTAGGCATCTACTGTAAGCAGAACACTCCCCTCCAAGCTGGAGGGACTGTAACATTTGGCTAAGAGGGGACCCTGTGTTCTTGGAGCTCCCAGTTGCCTTGTATCCCTAGCTCCCACCCCCTGTCCACTTCCAGCCCATGACTCACCTGTAAATGATGCCTTTGCTGTGTAGGAACTGTAAACCACACAGGATCTCAGCACTGTAAAACCTGTCCAAGGGAGGCAAAGGGGGATAAGAGAATTGGTCACTGTTGGATAAGGTAGGGAGGACCATGTGGGAGGTCAAGGCTATTGGGGGAGTTTAGGGTCTTGGTGGAAGAGAAAAGCATGGCTCAGGGCATGCAAGTGAGGATAAGGTGGGGAGAACCATGTGGGAGGTCAAGGCTGTTGGGGGAGTTTTGGGTCTCTTGAAGGAAGAGAAAAGCATGGTTCAGGGCATGCAGGGGGTTAAGACTGTCGAGGAGGAATGGCTATTGGAGAGCTGATTGTTGGAGTTAAAACCATCAGAGGGTATTTGAACTATTTTGATGTAGAGGTTTAGGGCCATGATGAGGTAGCACAGATATTAGGGCCATTGGGAGGCTTAAAGCTACAGTGGGGTTTAGGCTCATCAGGAAAGGTCAGGGATATGGAGAGGATGGTTAAGGCCATGAGGAGGTATGGTAATGAAAGTGGTATGGCCATTAGTGTTAAGATCACTGGGATGGAGGGCAGGGGCAGGGTGATGGTGGAATAGTCATTGGAAAGGTATTAGGGCCATGGAGGAAGTTACCATTATTGGAAGAGGATTAAAGCTAGGAGGAGTTAGGGCCATCAGAAAGTTAGATTCCCTCTATTTGGGCTTTTGGTCACTGAGCAGAGGAATTAAGTTCACGACAGAAGTTGACCCTAAGCAGTGGGCTCTAGCCCCACAGAATTGAATAGGGCCATGTCAAAGGAAGTAATGTTAATAGTTATCAGAGGTTTAAACTCAAGGGGAGAGGGTCAAGTTTATGGAGAATAAGTTAGGACTATAAGAGCAGGTTAGGGCTTTTTCAGGCATCTTGGAAATGGGATGGGTTAGGCTCATCCTCTGGGAAGGGGTAGGTGCTGGTTTAAAGGTTTGCCTCTTCTGCCCTTCTCACCGCTTTTTCATCCCAGGACACATACCCCTTCCTTTCTCTCACCACCAGGCCAACTAAAGACCATGGGGAGAAAGTGAAGTTTGAATTCATACAGTATCACAGGAGAGTTTTTATGGGAATCACAACTCAGACAGTGCCCCAGAGATCATGTTGGGCTAAGGGCCAATCCTATACCTAAACTCTCTTTCCCCAAAAGAACATTGCCTAGGTGTTCATTTCAACTAAGACTGATGACTTTTTTTTTCCTCTCCAAAGACAATCTGGATGACTGAGTTCCTCAAAAGCAGGACCTGACCAAGCTCAGTACCAAAGTATCAACCCTGGACAAAAGTCAGAAGTGAGAGTGGGAGAAAATTTAAAACTCAAAATCTTATGGAAGTGAATGCTGAAAACTAAAAAAATTAAAACAAAATAAAAACTAAAAAATAAATAAATTAAATTTTAAGAAAAAGTCAGAAGTCAAAAGCCCAATCTCTAGTTTCAACTTGGTCCCAGCTCAATGTGTGACTGTGTAATCAAATACGATAATTTATGTGAAAGTGCTATATAAATGTAAGGTGTTATTAATGTCTCTCTAGGCCTCATTCTTCTCATCCCCTAAAAAGGGGATAATAATCTCTGGCTTGCCCCTTTGGTGTGAGGATCCAATAGGAGAATGAACATGAAAGGAAAAGGCCCTTTATGCACATAAGGAGTTATTATCATTCCTCTGCACTGCCAGAGAAGAAACAGGACATTAGAGCAGCAAAAGCTAAGATTCTAAGATCAGCTCATCCAGCCTCCCAATCCCTGACATTTTATAAATGAGGAAACTAAGGCTAGAATAGACAGGGACTTCTTAAATTCACGGTTAATTCGAGATAAGGCTGGGACATGCGTAAAGCCAATACTTCTGGTCCTAGGCTCTTTTCCAATCTACTCCAACTTCTAATAGAGGATGATCTGAAGGGTACCAAGAATGCTCTATCTGTTGCAAATCTTTCCTCTGTCAGCCCTGAACCCTGGGGCTCAGATCAAGGTTAAGTACAGCTTCCCAGGAGAGAAAGGTGGGGGAACAGAAAAGGGTCCAGGGGACACTACAATTCCTTCCACTATGCAGGGCAAATCTTCCTCCCGTCACCCAGGAACGGCTGGCCCATCACTCACGTGGCTCGGTACAGGTCAAAGCGTCCCTTATCCTGGATGTGAAACATCAAGTCGCCTCCATTGAGGAATTCCATCACAAAGAACAGGTGATCCTGGCCAGAAGAAGGGAAAGGTGGTGAGCATAGGGGCCACAGCCCAACACATGGGGACAGGTAGGTAGACCCCCTACAAAGTTTCCCTGGGGGCAACATTCTGTCGATGCCGAATACGCCGATTCAACTAGCATTTATTATTCGTCAACTATGTGCTAGGCACTGGGGATAAAACACAAAAAAGAAACAGCCCCTTCCCTTCAGAAGGTCACGTTCCACTGGGGCAGAGGAGGAGGGGAGTGAGAGGAATCTAATAAGAAATGAGACAACTTGCCGCCCTTAATGTGCTATATAGGGTGTCCAAAAGTCTTAGTTCGGCCTTTAGCTATTAAAGCTTAAAACTGCTCTGAGACTTTTGGGACACCTTCTGTAAGTAAGTGGTTACTCTTCCTCCTCCTATTACTATGATTACTATCGCCCCTGCTACTACTACAGTAAGTGTATGATAACCAGAGGTGAGAGAGAACATTGTCAACTAAGGGGCCTGAGAAAGGCTTTTTGGAGGAGGTGGCACCTGAGAGAAGCCTTGAAAGATGAAGCTAAAAAGGTAGAGGCAAGGAAGGAGACCAGTCTGGGCATGGCAAGAAGACGAAGATGACCGGCCAACTTTGGGGAATGGCCAGTCTGGTGGAAATGGAGTATGAGAAGGAGAGAAATATGGCAAGTAAGACCGGGCATAGCCAGGCTGCGAAAGGACTTAAATGCCAGTAGGAGGAATTTCTATTTTATCCAAGAAGGAATAGGGAATCCCTCAGAGAGGAGTGTGCTGGAGCCAGCTTGAGCAGGTGCTGTTAAATTTTCAGCATGAGCATTTACATCTCAGAAATCAGCAAACTACAAATCAGGGGTTGATTTATTGATTTGTTGATTGTCTAGACTTAAGAAAGTGGTGGAGAAAATGTTAATAATGCTGATTAAATTTAAAAATGTGCATGCACACCCTTTGACCCAGCAGTAGCACTTCTAGGGCTGTATCCCAGAAAGATCATACAAACGGGAAAAGGACCCACATGTACAAAAATATTTATAGCCACTCTTTCTGTGGTGGCAAAGAATTGGAAATTGAGGGGATGCCCTTCAATTGGGGAATGGCTGAACAAGTTGTGGTATATGAATGTAATGGAATATTATTGTGCTATAAGAAATGATGAACAGGCTGACTTCAGAAAAACCTGGAAAGACTTGTATGGTCTGATGCTGAGTGAAGTGAGCAGAACCAGGAGAACATTGTACACAGTAACAACCACATTGTGCAATGACTAATATTGACAGACTTAACCTTTCTCAGCGATACAAGGATCTAAGACATCTCCAAAGGCCTCATGATGGAAAATGCCATCCACAAAGAAGAAAGAACTATGGAGTTTGAACGCAGATTGAAGCATACTATTTGCTATTTTTTTTTCTTCTGTTGAGTTTTGTTTCCTCTTTCTGGTGGTTCCTCCTATTGAGTCTAATTCTTATTTACAACATCACTAATGTGAAAATATGTTTAATAGGAATGTATATGTATAGTCTATATCAGATAGCATGCCATCTTGGGGAGGGAGATGGGAAGGGACAGGAAGAATAATTTGAAGCTCAGAAGCTTATGGAAGTGATTGTTGATAATTCAAAATAAATTAATTTTTTAAAAAGTGTGCATGCACATATTCCCCACCCCACCTCCCCACCCTCAGAGAGCTGGTTTTTAAACATTTGCCAGCACAGCTGTGGAATCATAGTAGCTTCTTGAGTTGGAAAGTGATATGATTAGAACTGGGCTTTGGGGGGATATCCTGTCAGCTGTGTGGATGGCTTGGAGAGGGGAAAGACAGAAGGTAGATCAGGTGACAGAGAAGGAAAAACATCTTCCCCTAACCTCAGAAATCCCTTGTTCTGAAACATCCCATCCCTGAAGAGGAGACATGGCTCTGAGCTTGGGGATCCTCCAGGCTAAGTGGGAGTGGGGGGACAGGACACATGTCTGGGGAAAGTACCTTGGTTTGGAAAGTACAGTAAAGGTGCGTCAGGAATGGGTTCTCCCAGGCGAGCGCCAGCACTCGCTTCTCCACCATGGTGCACTCCACGTCATCATCTATCAGAACGACATCTTTCTTCAGAGCCTTCACTGCAAAGAATTCACCCTTTCCCTTCAGCTCAGCTAGCAGCACCTGAGTCACCAAAGCAGAGAGGCAAAGGGACTGAAGCTGGACAGAGCAGTTGGAAGAGCCCCCACAAACAGTCTGGGCAATTTCACCTTGGTCCCAAAGGGTGGCTGTGCACTAGACCAGGCACCCCCTTTCCTAGGGCCTGGCACCCTTCAAGACACCTGTCTACTCTGACCCACCTTCCTAACAACACACATGCATAATGCTTCATGTCGCAGTTGCGCAGATCTGAAAAAAAAAATGGCGTGCAGACAGACACTGCATAGATCAAATCCTATTTTCCCATTGCCTTGCAATTATGTTTTCTGAGAAGGCTCATTTCTAATGGATTTTCAGTGGTTCCCATATGTTCCAGTGTCTAACTTCTCACAAACTCTCTACCCCAACTAAGATGAGAAGATGCCCCCCGGCGGTTGTCTCTGCCAGCTCCCCCTTCTTCTCCAATCCTTATTCAAACTCTACCATCCTCTTAGCACCCTCAGAATTAGCTAATCTATTCAACCCCTTGTGGCTAATTATGTTCCATATAGAGATAGGATGCCTCTCTCCATTCCCAAGGAGCACCTGTAGATTTTAACCATGGGAACCACATTCAATTCCTGGCTTTGCGGTTTAAGCTCTTTGGGACATCACTGGATGAAAGGATCTCTAAGCTCCCTTCCAACACTGGTGGCCAAAGGAGGCGGTCCCCCACCTTCCCAAAGCTGCCCTTGCCCAGGACTTTGTGAAACGTGAAGTTGTCGATGTTGAACTTGGAGGGCGTGCTGCCTTCCCAGATCTTCCCATAGGTCCCATTATCTGTGGGAACAGAAAATAAACATTTAAGATCTTTACCTAAGACCCTGAACCACACTCCAACATCCACCCACATTTAACTCGGTTCAGAGGGGCAGGGAGGGACTCTTAGGAAGGTGCTCCCCACCAAGACTGGCTGCTCCCCATAGGACTGAGGGAAGGGAAGGGGGAGAAAGGAGACACTGAGGATCAGAGAAGGGGCACTAACTCCACTAGGACCACACAGGCCAGAACAGAATTCTAGCATCCTTATTCACAGATGAAGACTATATCCACTGACACCTTCAGCTGACTAGTTCAAATATACACTGCCCCCCACCGACATATACTATGCCCCCTTATCCTCCTGCCAGTCTTACCCTGACAACCTTCAGACTCAACATTTAATGATATCCCAAATCTACCTCCTTATCTTCTATTTCAGTGTTGCTGAAATTGGCTAGAGGAAGTCACACAACTGCTGACTACAAATCTGTCATCTAATCTCAACTGGCCCTCGCTACAATGGAACGGCCATCCTTTCGTTCCTTCCTGAATGATTCTCATAGTCCCAAGAGCAGCTGTTAAAAAACCTCTCCTCTCCCCAGGTTCCCTACATCATTCTCATCACATTGCTGTCGATATGCACTCGCCTACTACATTCAGAAGAAAATCTTAATCACTTCTTATGACCTCTTTGATCTTCCCTATTACACACTTGAAATCTTCACCAGTCTTCTCTTTCTTCACTCCAGTCTCTGAAAAAAGTGGCCCTCTTTCACATCAAGGCCAATTCCTTCCCTTGTACCCTTTATTTCTTCCTCTCCTGTCCCTTCTGGAAGCTTGTCTCATCAATCTTTATCCACTCTTTCTCATCCCCATTCTTTCTGTATCTACTGGGTCCTTTTCCATTGCTGACAAATATACACAGGTCCCTACCCTCCATCTTAAATCTTCACTTGGCCCCTGCCATCCTCTTAAACTATCATTCAATATCTCTCATCCCTTTATTGCTGAGCCCCTAAAAAGAGCATCTACTCTCACTGTCTCCACTGTCTCACCAACCTTTCCCTTCTTAACTTTTTACCATCTGGCTTCTGAGCCCCCCACTCTACTAAAGCTACTCTCTCCAAGGTTACTAACAATTTCTTAACCCAAATCTGTTGGTTTTTTTCTTTGTTTTTATCCTCCTTCACCTCCTACACCCAACTTCTGACCATTACCTCCCCTCCTTCTAGATATTCTTTTGGGAGCCCCTTGGCTTCTTTATCAATGGTCTCTCCTGATTCCTCTCCTATGTCTCCTTCCAGGATCCCATCATCTATCTCCTATCCCCTAAATGTGGGTGCCTCCCAATACTCTGGCTTAGGTTCTCTTCTCATCAATTCCCAAGGGTTCAATTATGCTATCCGCGCAAATGATTCCCAAACCTGAACATTCAGCCCTGATCTCTGGTGAACTCCAGTCCTGCCTTTCCACTGACCTACAGGACATTTCTACTTGGATGGCTCATGAGTACCTCAAACGTAACAGACGCAAAATGGAACTGAACATCTTTCCCTCTTAACTTGCCATTCCTCCAAATCTCCCTACTTCTGCTGGGGACACGCCAGCCCTTCTAGTCATGCCTATCCCTTCCCTGACTCTTCCCTGAATCACCCCTGACTCTTCCCTCACCCTCACTTCCCTTATCCAATCAGTTGCTAAATCTTGACGACTCCACAGTATCTTTGCCCTCTTCTCTCCATTTCCCTGGCCATACCTGAGTTCAGGCCCTTCCCGTCTTTCACCTGGACAACTATAATAACCTCTTAATTGGTCTTCCTCTCTCTAGACCACCAGGGAGCTGGTGAAATACTCTCTCTAGTACAACTTACCCTCTGGATCAAAAGTTTCAGTGGTTTCCTGTTGCCTCTGGGGCAAAATCCAAATGCCTAAGCCCCAGGTTCAAAGCTTTTCTCAGGTTTGCGTCCATCTATCATTCTAGACTTATATCACATTATTCTCCTTCTTTAACTCTTTATTTCAACCAAACTGGACCACTCACTGTGTTCCTGAACTCTATGCCTTTGCATAAGCTATTTGGATAGAGGCAGCTAGGTAACACAGGGCATGGACTACTGGGCCTGCAGTCAGGGAGACCTGAGTTCAAATCCAATCTCAGACACTTGCTAGTTGTGTGATCCTGGGCAAATAATTTAACTCCTGTATGCCTCAGTTTCCTCATCTATAATGGGAATAATAATAGCACCTACCTCTGAAGGTTATTGTGAGGACCAAATGAGAAAACAATTGTAAAGTGCTTAGCACAGTGCCTGGCACATGGTAAATGCTGCATAGATGCTTATCCCCTTTTTTTTCTCCCACATTCTTCCTTATCTCTGCATCTCTGAATCCTTAATATTCCTTCAAGGTTCAGCTTAGGTGCTGCTTCCTCTATGAAGCTTTTCTTGATTGCCCCAACAATGGTCTCTCCCTCCTCAAATTTCCTTGGATCTATTTATTGGCATATACATATATATAATGTACCAACACATTGTACATACATATACATACATGTTGTATCCTTCAAGGAAAATATAAGTTCCTCAAGGGCAAAGACTATTTCTTTTTTTGCTTCACATCTCCAGTGCATTGCACTTAGTAGGTGCTTAGTAAATGTTAGCAGAATTGAATTTCGTGTTTCGAAATCTTACCTGCCACATCTTCCCCAGAGGGACCTGCTTTCTTCTCAAAGCCCTGGTAGATGCCAAAGCTTTCTGTAGACCCTGCGTCTGACTTCCGGGAAGATTTCTGGAGGAGAGCAAAGAAAAAGGGGGTCTGCAGCCAGAGCCAGCTCCACAGCACCAGAAGGGGAGGCAGCTGGATCCTGATCCCCCACAACCCTGACTCCATTACTAAAACAACTTCCCAGAGCTGGTTATGGGGTGGGGAATCCCTGTTATTTCAACAACACAGGTTTACTCCATTTTATTCAATGGTTGCATAGCTGAAAAGGCTTCATCAAATCCCATTTTCCTATTTACGTCCTCTGTTTTTCTCAGGATATGTTCATTTCGCTTCTGGTGGATCTTCTGTGGTCTCCTAACATTTCCGCTTGAAGTTTCTGAGAGCTTTTCCTACCAACTTAACAGGGTTCTTCTTTAACTCTTTCAGAGCCCTGAAATCTTCTGGGGAGCTCTCTGAATGAAGAAACCTATAGTCCTAAGTTAACATGTATCATCTCTTCCCCAACAAATCCTAAATTTTCTAGCCTGCAAAGTGGGGTTGGGATTTTCTATCTGTCCTTATCTGATCAGTGCTGACTACAGCCTCCCCTTGTCCTAGCAGTAAGACCCTCCCCAGCCTACCTCCTGTAGCCTGGGGACTGATTTTTTCCCTCCATACCTGGCTGACTTGGTTTAATGCTTCAGCTAACAGCTTCTGGTTGATGCCGCATAAATTTGCCACTTTATTCTGACACTTATGATGTACGTTCATCCCACAGTCTAGGAGAGAGAGAAAGTATAGGCATTTGGAATCTCCTCTGAATCCCACTGGTCTCTCCAGGACCCTAGAGGGATCTAGGTGGGGCAGTGGATACAGATCTGGCTCTGTATTCAAATCCGGTCTCAGATACTTATTAGCTGTGTGACCCTGGGCAAGTCACTTAACCTATGTCTACCTCAATTTCCCCAACTGTAAAATTGGGATGCAGGGTTGTTGTGAGTCTCAAATGAGAAAAATTTGTAAAGTTCTTAGCACAGTGCGTGGTATATTGGAGGTGATCAGTAAATGAATGATTCCTTCCTTCCTTCCTTCCTTCCTTCCTTCCTTCCTTCCTTCCTTC